ATTATTAATTGCCTCTGCCACGACTGTTGCTATTCTTTTCTAAAACAACAGCTGCCATTTTCTTGAATAATTCCTATGTGTTAAGTGCTTTAAACATGTTACCTCACTTAATCCACACAATAACCATGTAATTGCATAAGGCAGGAACCACTATGCTCCAGATAATAAAACTAAAGCCTGGTGAGATCATGACTGGCCACAGCCACACAACCACTAATGGAAGGACATTCAGGTAGCCTGGCTTCAGAGCCCAACCACACCATCACTACACTATGGTCCTTTATCCTCCGGCCCCACCTACCTATTTATATATATATCACACACAATAGCAAAGACATGTGAATGAAGAGTCCACACCCTTTAAAAATAATTCTCACGTAACTACAAGTTCAGACTGAGTTCTACCGGCAAAGCTGCCTGTGAAAACCTGCCCTGGGAGATCTGCCTACACACTACACTAATTAATCTACTCTCATAAAAACCATGGGACTGATTTTGATCTACAAGCCATGAAACGTATGTTCAGGAGTTTTGTTTCCACCAGAAAGCCATCCAAACTGAACTGGATGATTTTTTTTAGGTTTTTCAGATAATATCTCAAGTTTTATGAAATATTGATTTCCCACCCTTACTGGATCAAAATGGAAAATAAAATACTCCATTGTCAATGTGAGAAAGACAGAAAAACAATAAATGACAAAGAAGAATTTTTAACTCAAAAAATAGGAAGTAAACACCCCCCCCCCATTAACTCTCCAAGATTTTAGAGCAAAAAGAAAAAGCAATTATTAAAGGCTATGGATACACTCATAGAGTAGGTCTCATGTCAATGGGAAGATGGAAGCAGGCTTGGCACAATAAATAAACAAACAGTGTATCCCAACCAGCAAGCACTCACCACAAGATGCCCTGCAGAGCACCTGAAGTTTCAGCTGACATTTTCTGTTTAGGTTTTCTTCTTAAATCAGATTCATGTGAAACCAGCAACAATGAATTCATTAATGAGGGGGAAAGGTGCATTCATTATTTTTTTTAAAAGATTTTATTTATTTATTCATGACAGACTCACAGAGAGAGAGAGGCAGAGACACAGGCAAAGGAAGAAGCAGGCTCCACGCAGGGAGCCCAACGTGGGACTCCATCCCGGGCTCCAGGATCGTGCCCTGGGCTGAAGGCGGCGCTAAACCACTGGGCCACCGGGGCTGCCGACATTCATTATTATTTTAGGCAAATCTCACTCAAGAGAAACACTGAAAGTTCACAAATGAACATTTCAAATTGTAAAGAGGAAGGGAATGAAGCAGAAATAATAATTTCAAGGACATCAAACATAGTTCAATCATTCCATTTGCCTTCACAGATGAGAAGACAGTTCTTGTTTATGACCCATAAAATCAAATATTCTTAAACTTTTTTTTCTTGATTTGGCATGGAACTCCAGGACAATATCACACTAGTGGAAAAAATAAAAAACAAGAAGGGAAGAAATGAGAGGACAGACTCACTCTCCACCCAACATATAGTCTGAATTGATTTCAAATGCCAAAGGGACTCCCATCGTCTCCTCTCTGGTAGATCCTACCTGCTGAATTTCTACCATGTTTTGTCAATTATGATTTTATACAACAGAAGACTATGAACCTAGCTCTCTTCACTATAAAGAGGATGATGTGCTGGTGATGATGGGTAGTGGCAATGAGGGTAGTGGTGGTGATGATGATAATGGCAAGCACACTTCAGTGTCTGAATTTCACCACCGAAGAGGCATTTATATACTTTAGAGAATGACACAAAGTTTAGCAGAAACACTTTTTCCTTAAGGGTTACTGTTCTAAAGGGCTACCCTAAAAAAACTCATAATCGATTCCAAATAAATGGAGGATTCATATATTTAAATAAATGGAGGATTCATACATTTAAAAATGGAAAAACTAATGTAATCAATGCTGCTGACTTCAAGGATGGAAATGTAAATAAAATCTTCCTTCTATCTGTCAAACAAATAAATGAACTCTTCCTTGAGGACAAGCCATACTTTTCTGCCTTTTTATTGTTTTTAATTTATTTATATTTTTCCATTATTTAAATTTTAATTCCAATGCAGTTAACATACAGTGTTATACTAGTTTCAAGTGTACAATATAGTGATTTGACACTTCCATATATTACTCAATGCTCATCAAGATAAGTGTATTCTTAATTCCCTTTACCAATTTCACCCATCCCTTTTTCAAAGTATATTCTGCAATTTGAATCCCTTAGCTATTACCATTTCTAACGTAAATTAAGCTACCAATACATTCTGGTTATGGTGAAACACTGCTCTGCCCTGGGAATTTCTAAAAAGACCCAGAGTGTTAGAAACAGCCACTCAGAAATAATACCCCTTTTTACCCAGCTCTGCAAGAAGATGAATCTTTATTAGAACCGACCCTTTCCTGAAGGCCCTCACAAAAAAGTAATGAAATAATCAGACCTAAAATGCATTTATTTGTTTGTGTTTATGTGGCAACGAAGAAAAAAATGGATCCTAGGAGGATCTGTGGATTTAGAAGATCCATTCATTTGGAATGCTCATTTGTCTACATATTGCTGCAACTGGAGAAGTTAGATTTAAAAAAAAAAAGTCTTGGTCCTTAAGTCCTAACATTACAGGAAGCATCTGCTTTGAGAACAATGACTCAGAGCCTCTGATAACAGTAACATTCTCCTTTGAAAGAGAGAGAGCACTCCCAGAAATGGTATTTTTCAATGAAACTGTATGTCAACAGTCAGAAAACAGCCAGTAAAAGAAGTACATTTTCTCCCTCTCTTTATCAAAGATCCATTCTGCTCTCAGGATAGTGTTGCCTGGCCCAGTCTTGAGCACTTTACCCTTCCCAGAGACATATAACCAACTCTCTTCCCAAAAGAAAAATCTAAGGAAAAGGTTTTAAAATGAGTTATAGCCACCACCACCTGTACCATGTTGGTACTACTTACAGAAAAAAGAAAGACTGATAAAGGAGATTGCAGAAAAGATAATGCAGTAGAAATTCTAAAATAAGAGTATACAAATATCTGTGCAAAGCCCAAATATTTATCAAAATCATCCATGTTATTCTAGACCTCTGCATTGCAGTAAAACTGCCACACTAGTAGAGCCAAAATGGTAATTCTTAGTGACTAAATAATGAATGCGGAACTACATTAAGTATTGTCTGCTCTTAGTATTTCAACATTTTCCTTAGCCATTATCATAAAACCAGGATTCATTCGTTTTCAGAAATAATAGGCAATAATGAAAGCAGAAGTCTGCCCTCATATAAAAAGAAATAATGCATCCTGCATCTTCTTCAGTATTACTACTTATAAATGATATTAATGGCTGGTGTTGAATTCCTCATAGATGCTGGATACTAACTTTCACTTTATACCTACGCTGGGAAGTAAGTTTCATTTATCCCCATTCTATAGGTAAGGAAATCGAGGTTCAGAACTGTTAGGTAACCACACAAAATCATATTGTCTTATTGTCAAGAAGACAATCCCAGATCGTAAGCCCTAATCTACATTTCCTCCCCAGGGAAACAAGGCCTCCCACTTTTCTGAGATAGCTCCTATGAGCCTGGGTGGCTCAGCGGTTTAGCGCCTGCCTTCGGCCCAGGGCATGTTCCTGGGGTCCTGGAATCGAGTCCCACATCGGGTTCCCTGCATGGAGCCTGCTTCTCCCTCTGCCTGTGTCTCTGTCTCTGTCTCTCTCTCTCTGTGTCTCTCATGAATAAATAAAATATTCAAAAAGAATGAAAGAAAGAAAGAAAGAAAGAAAGAAAGAAAGAAAGAAAGAAAGAAAGAAAGAAAGAAAGACAAAGTGGTTTAGCCCCTGTACATATCACCTCTTCCTGACTTTTATCCCAAACTAGTCAGTCAATCTCCAGTGGGGAAAAAAACACAGTTATAGATAAACTTTGATTTTATCTCCTTTCATGATGGTGTTAACTTCTCTGTTGACAGAGGATAAACATTTATAAAATGAACTGCTGTGGAATCCCTTCCACCCTTCATTATGTGCCCTTAAATTAAGGTTTTAAGATAACTCTTAACAGTATGGGCATTTATGCCTCAATTTCTGCCCTCTGACTAAACATCTGAACATGCTCCTTAGTTAATTGTGTTTATATTAGGTAGTAGGATTATGGGTGATCTTGGTTTATTTCTCCTTCAGTTCTAAGATGTAAGCACCAAGTATGTATTACTCTTTCAACTAGAAAAAAATACAATAAATGTTCATTTTAATAGGAAAAAAAAGCTTAAGTATTTATGCCCAAAATTATTTTTCCCTTAGTATTAAAAAAGAAGACATTCATCGACCCAATTTAATCCTAAACCAGATTAGATTCCAAATTCAAGATGTGGGTTCTTTTACAAATGACTCCTACATTTACATCATTTTTTTCCTGTATTTAAAAATTAAGAAATATTCCATAAGACTGAATTTAACACTGTGTAGCTCTTTTCCTTTCCACGGGCCTATTTAGTAAAATCCTTAGCACTTTATAAATATAAAGAAACATGGTTACATATGCTTTATATGAACTATATATAAATATGGTTTTGCTTCAGACTGTTGACTTTGCCCATTTCTCCCTCTGAGCAGTCACTGGCATCTATTTCCCAGCCTCCTTTGCAGCTAAGCATGGGGCCATCAGAAGAGGAACAGAAGTGATCTGAGCCATTTCTAAGCCTATCCCATAAAAACCGCCCACATAAACTCTATGCTTCCCCTGCAGATTTGGAAGCCACATGTTGATGACCAGGGAGCCACAAAGTGGAAGGAATCTGGGTCTCTGCATCGCCGCTTGGGAGAGCATCCAGGAATACCATTTTGGACTTTATGTGAGCAAAAGTTAAAATTGTACTATGTAAAACACTGCAACTCTGGGGTTTCTCTGTTACCCTACCTAATGTGTGGTTTTGTTAACATACTCCAGAAGGGTAAGACTTCATGCTGTTTCTCTTACCTTTTTCAAAGACTCCTTCTGCTTCCAGGACAGAGACAGAGAGGTTGGCTGCCATCTTGACCAGCTCCGCCTTGACGGTGACCTGGGGGGGGCTGTGTTCCAGAAGCTCCACCCCAATAGTCACATTTCCTCCAGGCCTGACAATCCCTGGGGCTGTCACCAGAAATCTAGGCCTAAAGAGTCCCCGAGATGAGAAAAACACAGTTCCTTATCCTTACATCTCCATTCCTCACGTTTCATAGATAGTGAGACTCTCCATACTGTGCCAACTGCAATTGTTCCAATTATCCCAATATTGCCCCACTGCTCCATTTAGCAACTGCATTGAAATGCTATTGAAACAAGAATTCCCATAAATCAATCTTAATGCATTAATTCCTGCACCACTAGTGGAGAGCATGTGTTATTATTTCCATTGTATAAACCACAAACAGCACAGGATGAGCCTCGGTGTAAATGGCTTGCACCGAGGCATGCAAGAAGTTATTGGCAAAGTACAAGCCCCACACTTCTCCTTCACAGACCCCATCCCAGCGTGATTTTTTTTGACTTGCACACACACACACACACACACACACACACACATTTTGCGGGTTTTATTCAAACTTTCATCCATGGGCATCTGCCCCGGAAAACATCATCTAACAAATACCAGTGATTGAACTCTATCACCGGAAATTAAACGGCCAGGGGTAAAACGTCCAGGTGTAGCAGAGCAAAAAAATTCAGCAAAAACACCACTTTCTCTGCCCAAGCCAAGGGTAAAGGCTCAACCGCAAAAAAAAAAAAAAAAAAAAAGATAGGAGTGGGCGCTTTCCATTAATGAGGGTGTCTCATTAGTTATCTTCCTAGTTAGTGTGTGCACCGCAACCACTCCCTCCCTTCACCTCGGCCACACCTTGCCAGTGCCCGGGTTGAGAGAGAGCTAGTCTGGAAGGAGAAAACACACACACACACACACACACACACACACACACACATCACACGCCTTTGAGAAAAGAAGGCGCGCTGTATGGAGAAGAAAAAAAAAGTTACGGGAAAGGCAGAGGTAACGTGCACTGAAACGAACATATCTCTCTAGAAAAGTCGTTACTGCCAGAAAGACGCTAAACAGCTTCCACGGGTGGAGAAAGTAACTGTCCCATGGAGAACCGAGCTGCAGCGACTGACGCTCTGCCCTCCGGGCCGGTGCGGGGCTGCCGAGGGCCGCCGCGCAGCCGGTTCCCACCCGCGCCCCCCTCCGCGCGCCCCCTCCGCGCCCGCCCCCGCGCCCCCCTCCGTGCGCCCCCGCCCGCCCCGCGGCCGGTTCCCACCCGCGCCCCCTCCGCGCCCGCCCCGCGCCCCCCTCCGCGCGCCCCGCCGCCCGCGCCCGCCCCGCGCCCCCTCCGCGCCCGCCCCGCGCCCCGCTCCGCGCGCCCCCGCCCGCCCCGCGGCCGGTTCCCACCCGCGCCCCCGTCCGCGCGCCCCCTCCGCGCCCGCCCCGCGCCCCCTCCGCGCGCCCCGCCGCCCGCGCCCGCCCCGCGCCCCCTCCGCGCCCGCGCCCGCGCCCGCCCCCGCTCCTACCGCGAGCCCGCGGCCAGCACGGCGGTCCACACGCACACGAGGTGGGCGGCGGTCAGGAGCCCCCGGCCGCGCATCTCGGCCGCGTCTGCCTGGGCCACCGTGGGCTCCTGGGGAAATTCGCGGGCGCGGCGGGGTGTGGCTTCCCACCTCCTCCCCGCTTCTTTTCCCCTGACTCCGGAGTTCAGCAATCTGAAATGGGCGCGCCTGCAAGCGGAGTGAGAAGTCTAAATTGAGACGGGACTTGGTGGCTCCACCCCTCCCACCCGCATCACAATGGCGCTTCTCGCGGCTCCCGGCGAGCATCGAAAACCCGGGGCGGTGGGGGGGTCAGAGGTGCGGTCCGCCGGAGCTGGCCCCAGCGCCCCCGCTCCCCGCTTCCCCAGCCCACCGGCTTCCCCGGGCTGCTTACACTAGCGCCCCGCCAGCGATGCCCAGAGTGAATACACAGGCCCATCCTTGTGAGGAGAAATTCAGAGCGGCTATGCGAAGTGGAAAAAAATCAATCATTGTCCCCCAGACTATGAGTCATAATTTTAGAGAAATGGCAAACACACAGACACATACACACACACACACACACACACAGCCCAAACCAAGGTATTTTCTGGGTAGTTGGTTAATGTATATGAAAGGACAGGAGAAACACTATTTTTACTTGAAACACAAATTAAGGTATTTTGTTTGCCTCTCCGGGAAAATGTTACGGTTTGTCAACTTAAAAACAACAACAACAAAGAAAGGAAAGAATTCTGGCACATGCAGAAATTAGGTGTTGCTACTTGGAACTGTGAGAAACAATTATCCAGGGGGATGCTTTTTATATTTTTGACTGTCTCTAAACGGCGTTTGCTAAAGGCGTTAGTTATGATTAGAACCAAAAAGCCCTGAGCGATCCGTATGAACACACTCAGGGTTGGGGTAACTCTCCTGGCCCAGTAGGACAGTAGCCCTGCTGCAACAGTGACTGAGCCCCAGCTCCTCACCATCCTGGCTGGGCAACAACTCCTTCCCCAGTTCTTTAGCACTGGCACCATCTTCAGATGACTCAGGTTTCACCATGACTACACCATAAAAGCAGAGAACTGCCAAAAACTGTTGGAAAACAGGCACATTCAGTCCTTGACAACTTAAAGTTTCTAATTCATGGAGAAAAGTTTTAGATGGTGACTTTTTAGTGCGGGGCAAAATGCAGGAGGAAAAGAGGTCAGCAAAGGGATGTCACATGACAGCTATGTGCTAAATAAAGGAGAAAGTAGCACCTAGACAAACTGTGGTTTTTGGAATCCAGGAACTTGCTTTCCTCCCTTTCCTGTTCCACCCTTTTTCACCCTGTTGAACTGCTTGCCGAGGTCCCTTCTGTCCCTATGTCTCTGACAGGCAGCCTATCTTTAGTGGCCAGCTTCCTGTGCAGGCAGGGTTGGAGGACAGTGAAAAGTGTCCAAGTGGATCCTTGGGTACGGATCCTGTCCCTGATGCAGCTATCACTACTGATCTGATCTCCTTACCTCTGTTGTTCAGAGTAGGCCCAGGGTCATGTGTGAGCTCAGCCTGGAGGGCTACACCAGTGCTTCTCAAACTAAGGGGTATGAGAAGCACGTTAGGGTACAAACGCTATCTCTGGGATGGGGACCAAGATTCTACTTTACTTCAGTATACAATGGGTCACAGAAGGTCTACAAGTTGAGACAATTTGGGGCACTTTGATTTATTTTTTTAATAAATTAATTTTTATTGGTGTTCAATTTACCAACATACAGAATACCACCCAGTGCTCATCCCGTCAATGGGGCACTTTGATTTAAAAGGGAAATTAGGAACATGGAGAAAATTCTTTTCAAGCTTCACATAGTGGATCAATAAATTCAGGATTAGGGATCCCTGGGTGGCGCAACGGTTTGACGCCTGCCTTTGGCCCCGGGGCGCGATCCTGGAGACCCCGGGATCGAATCCCACGTGGGCTCCCGGTGCATGGAGCCTCCTTCTCCCTCTGCCTGTGTCTCTGCCTCTCTCTCTCTGTGTGTGTGACTATCATAAATAAATAAATTTTTAAAAATATATAAAAAATAAATAAATTCAGGCTTATTCTAGAAGCAAGCAAATGGAAACAGGACTTCAAATGTTACATTCCAAGAAGACCTATATAAAAGTTTAGGATCACCTAGTTATCTTATAAAATTAATGCTGTGCAGGTCTTAAATTAATATACCTCTCTGTTTCTTTCTTCTCACAATACACACTTACTGAAAAGCCTAACCATACAGAAATTTAGCCATGTAGTTTTGCACAGAGATGAAGCTACATGCCTACATTGAGTACATTATACTCAATAAAAATTTATTAAAAGGATTAGTAAAATATTTTGACTGATTTTCTCAATCTGTACTTTTTCCCATGTCATAGATCATGTTTTAATCCCTGGAATAGCTCCATACAGCACGGCCATACAAAAGTTCTTCAAGATCATTGTCAGCTATTATCTTCTCTGCTTTCTTCTCCTTCTCCACCCACCACTGAAGGACTCACTGATGGAGTTAGGCTACTTCTTGGATGCAGATATTTGAAACAAGCTGTTAGTGGTGAAACATTGCTTAAAATCTACTAAAAATACTGCAATTGTAAATGCCAACATTTAATTGTACCCTCTACCATCTCATAAATGAAGGTTAAATTTTTAAAAAATTTTTAAAAAGGATTAGTAAAAATGTTCAACTCAAAGGCTTTTTTTTTAATTTTTTTTATTTTTTTATTTATTTATGATAGTCACACAGAGAGAGAGAGAGAGAGAGAGGCAGAGACAGAAGCAGGCTCCATGCCCTGGGAGCCGGATGTGGGATTCGATCCCGGGTCTCCAGGATCGCACCCTGGGCCAAAGGCAGGCGCCAAACCGCTGCGCCACCCAGGGATCCCTCAAAGGCTTTTATTTAAGGTTGTTTTGGGTTTTTTTTAATTTGTTTAAGTGATCTCTACACCCAACATGGGCTCGAACTTAGGATGATAAAATTAAGAGTCAGATGCTCTATCAACTGAGCCAGCCAGGTACCCCTCAGAGTCTTTTTTTAATTAATTAGGAAAAATTGAAAGTAGTCTGAGATTAACAATAAGATTTGGTTAAATAAATTATGTATATCCATGCAATAGAATACTATAAAGTAATTAAAAATTATGTGAATCAGAGACTAATTATCTAGAAATAAATATTCATGATATGCTGTTGGAGTAGATCATCTGTTTTATAAAATAAAATTTAAAAATTATTCTATGTTTAAAAAATAAAAATAAATAAAAAAATAAAAATTATTCTATGTTTATAAAAATAAAGTGTGTTTAAATGTACATATACAGGGGATCCCTGGGTGGTGCAGCGGTTTGGCGCCTGCCATTGGCCCAGGGCGTGATCCTGGAGACCCAGGATCGAATCCCACATCGGGCTTCCGGTGCATGGAGCCCACTTCTCCCTCTGCCTGTGTCTCTGCCTCTCTCTCTCTGTGTGACTATCATAAATAAATAAAAATTTAAAAAAATAATAATAATAAAATAAATGTACATATACATTGTAGATATATGCATTGAAGAAATTGAAGGATGCTTACCAAAATGTTGTCTGTATCCTGGTGATTACTTATGTCTGCCAAATTTTCTATAATAAATATAAATATCATTTTCATTTAAAAAGAAAACAATGAAATGGTACTGTTCTACTAAGAGGTTTTTAAGGCAGCATCTTAGAAACTATTTAAATAAAGTTCGTGAATTTTAATACTAAAAAAAAATATGTGTGTTCCTTCTATGAAAACTGAATGGCCTTTGCATAAGAACTTTGCATAAGAACTCCCCACAGTTCCTGTGTACCTCCTGACCTATCTTTAGGGTGTGGTTCAACAAGAAATCAGAACCAATATGAGACTGATCCTACCCAATCATGGCAACCAGTGGAGCAGCCATTGCCTCTGCATCTAGTGTTGAACCTAAATTCACTCCAGGTCAGCCAAGGAGAGTATAGCTAAATGCGTACAAGAACAAGAAAACAGGGCAGGCTGGGTGGCTCAGCAGTTTCGCACCACCTTCAGCCCAGGACGTGATCCTGGAGACCCAGATCGAGTCCCACATTGGGCTCCCTGCCTGGAGCCTGCTTCTCCCTCTGCCTGTGTCTCTGCCTGTGTCTCTGCCTCTCTCTCTCTCTCTCTCTCTCTCTCTCTCTCTCTCTCTCAATCATGAATAAATAAATAACATCTTTAAAAAAAGAACAAGGAAAGATGAGGGAAAACTGGAACCCATGTCTCTTTTACCACCTCCAACTTTGATGTCATGGGTAATCTGCAAGAGAAGCTAATAGCTTTCACCAAGGGCTGCATATGCACCTGGTCCAGAATTCAGAAAAGTTCAAGGAGGAGATCTTCTTTTTTTTTTTTTTTTTTTAAAGATTTTATTTATTCATGATAGACCGGTGGGGGGGGGGGGGGCTGTGCAGAGACACAGGCAGAGGGAGAAGCAGGCTCTGTGCAGGGAGCCCGATGTGGGACTCGATCCCAGGTCTCCAGGATCATGCCCCGGGTCAAAGGCAGGCGCTAAACCACTGAGCCACCCAGGATCCCCAAGGAGGAGATCTTCTAAGAATTGGAGGAGCATGGGCCCCACTGTCACCCCACATCCACAAAGTGGGCTAGCAGATAGTAACAATGAGGGCAAGTGGCTCACCTGCCTGGCATCTTGCACTGATCTTCAGAGAGTAAACAATATGGCTTCTGCTTCACTGCTGGCTTCCCAGTTCACACAAAATGTCCCTTGTGACCCACACCAACTCAGAACCATACAAAGATGAGACTTCTGAGAAATTTAGCTCCATCTTAAATAAGTTGCCACAGTACAAAGCTACCAAAGGCTGTGCCTTATCAACTTGACATTTGTATATACCCGTTTTAACCATATTTAACTCCTGAAAAAAGCAATAGAAAAATCATCCTTTCACCTACATGATGCAACATTCCCTCATACAACCAAACACAACTTAACCCTCTCCCTAAAAGGGGATACAAAGTTCCTTTAACCATCTTCATACTTGGTTCATGCCTCTTCTAGCTGAATCACATTCTCCCTTTGAGATCCTATAACTTCAATACCAAGGTATAGGTTAACTATTATTAACACATATGGTAGAGGAATGACAGGGAGAAAAAAATATTGGTTAATAATGTACACAAATGTATTTATATCAAGA